AGATTGCGGAGCGTCTGCAGCTGACACCCTGCGACGTCCGCAAGCGAGATTTGAGGGCTTTGATCGTCGGTGATAAAGGAGGAGATGCCAATGTCGTTGGTGCCAATGAAGATAATTACAACAAACTCTGAGGGATCCATGTTAAGTTTTTGATGCTTGGTGCCGTTGTTGGAGACGTGGTCTTGTATGAACCACTCGGTCTGCCCGCCGATGACGTCCGGGGACGAGAATAGGGGGGTCCTACCGTTGGTTGAGCAGGATTTTCAATGGCGTACAGAAAAATTCGAACAGGTCATTCGAGCAGACAGCACCTCCCACAGCGTAGTTCCAAATGGTATAGTTTCCGTATAAACCAAGGTACCTGGCGTCAATATAAGCTTCAACCTCAACCAGAACGCAGTGCGGCCGTACCAGGGCCATTGAAATCCGCCATCAGCTGCGGTATCTGCCTGCAGTCCATTGCATTAGCTCGACCAAATTCTCGATGGACTCGATGCATACGGGTGGAAAAATCTCCTCGTAATCTTTGCCCGGAAAGGTCCCATTTTGAATGCTATGCTGTCGCGATTGATCTGTGTTTTGTGATAGTAGATCTCTCAGTCTACTCCAAGACAAAAGACGAACCCGTGTACGAATCCCCCTGTGATAAAATTCGACTCAGCCTGCAATATTTTTTATTCTGCGTGGAAGGGGCGTACAAATAGCACCACGGTCTTAGTTGTAATTTTAGCCCATGCACCAGATGCCAGCAGGATTGCACAGGAGGATAAAGAAAGGAGCAACATGGGCCTTTGGAGAATTTTTCGATGCCCATCCTGATTTTATACGCCGGCCAATTGCCCGAAGTTTGTCCTGTGATGCGGACTTGTGACCTTGGCGGGCCGCTGATACCATGCGAAACATGCGCCAATCTCCTCAAACAGGCCTCGTAGAGCATCATGATTCATTAGGTAGAAACAAAATCGTTTCTTTCTTTTTAAGCCTGCGAGTCCCTGCGAGCTCGATTTGGAGGAGGAGCCTGAGGAAGGAGTAATTGTCAGTCTTGCATCTTGCAATGAGAGTGAGCGGATTTTCTCTCTTCTTCTCTCTCTCCCTCTTTTCGGAGAGTCAATGGCCAAGACAGGCGCGGGCTTGCCGTTTCCCAGTGCGTGTCGGCGGTAAGCATAAGAGTGGTGCCTATTCATTCGGCATTCGGCCATCGGCCGTCATTGATCGCCATCGCTGATCCAGTTTAGATGGGCTCCTTTTTGAACAAAGCCACCACATCGGTCCACGATAAGCTAAGAAGTTCAGCACTATGCGTTTCTGGAACTCCTCATTTGCAGGTCAAAGGGTAGCTCTGAAGACGACGTTGTTCAACCCACAATGGCTCCAAGGTCTTCTTGGAGTTCTTCCTTTCCATCTCGCCGGGCTCCCCTCATCGCACCAGAAGTTTGGACGCGTCACAAGTTCAATTTCGGATACAAGTACAAAGATATACAACAGGAAGATACGGATTAATACAAGATAGCTCGGGGATTCCTGAGCAACCGGCACCAGGCAGACTGCAATGTTGCGCGAGGCTTTTACGCGTAGCCCTTTCCGCCCTTTCCGTGGTCGTGGTTCTCTTTCCCTCCTTTGCCTTTGCCGTCCTTGTGCCCGCCGTCCTTGTGCCCGCCGTCCTTGTGCTCACCGTCCTTGTGTCCACCATCCTTGTGTCCGCCGTCTTTGTGTCCGCCATCCTTGTGTCCGTCCTTGCCGTCATCGCCTCGCGCGTACCTGTCATTTGTGAGCAAGTCTCTCTTTGGAGTATCTCTCTCAATGACAATTACCTTCCGTGGCCACCTTTGCCGTGTCCGTATCCGTGACCCTTGCCGTGGCCGTACCCACGCTCCTCTAACTCAGCCTCCTCTTCGCGAGCATACCGGCCGTGTCCACCCTTGCCGTGGCCGCCATGACCGTGACCGTAGCCGCGCTCTTCAAGCTCGGCCTCCTCCCCGCGGGCATATCTGCCGATTGTTAGCTGTTTTTGCGGTGAGTTTCATGAGCGCTGCATACCTGCCGTGTCCGCCTTTACCGTGTCCGTGGCCCTTGCCGTGGCCGTCGTGGCCATGCCCATAGCCGCGCTCCTCAAGCTCGGCCTCCTCCTCGCGGGCGTACCTGCCGTTTGTCAATACATATCTGACCTGCTCATCTTGAGCTCAGCATACCTTCCATGTCCACCTTTGCCGTGTCCGTGCCCGTGGCCCTTGCCGTAACCGCGCTCCTCTAGCTCAGTCTCTTCTTCGCGAGCATATCTGCCGTGTCCGCCTTTGCCGTGTCCGTGTCCGTGGCCTTGATCGTGACCACCGTGGCCATGGTCATAGCCGTGCTCTTCCAACTCAGCTTCCTCCTCGCGGGCATACCTACAGTTTATGAGCATTTTATTCCCTGGATCATCTTGAACTCTGTATACCTGCCGTGTCCACCTTTGCCGTGGCCGCCATGGCCGTGACCATAGCCACGCGCCTCAACGGCAGTGTCGGCCGCGAGAGGTACGCTGAGGGCGGTGGAGAAGAGCGCAAGGAGCGCCGCAATGGTAGCAGTGGAGAAACGCATTTTAGAACAGGTGAGAGGTTGGAAACTTTACTCAAAGGCGTGTAAGAGCTGAATGCTGAAGACTCAAGGCGAAATGGCGACGCTTTTATAGCGGTTGGAATGATCATTAAAGGTTATATGAAGGTGCGATGCTGGACAGGCGACTCGGTGCATTAAAAATTGTCCCAGACAACTGTCGGCCATGCATCTGGAGCGAAAATAGTCTGTGCGTAACGCGCTCCACTGAAAAGCGCGCCTTCGCCTCATCAGACCCTTCCCAAGATGGTGTGCCGCCGTAACCTGTGAGGTGTACGTTCACCTCCGAGGACCGCACACGATTCTGAATTGGCAATATTTGAATGTTAATGCGATTCTTGGCCTCGAATTTGCAAGGAGCCAGGTATCCCTCCCAATACTATTTTCCCCCAGTCTTTAGATCATATGGTAAATGAAATGGTGCACTTCGTAAATGAAATGGCGCACTTGTTGCACCTTTAATTGCGTCCAAAGAAGGTGGAACTTTTTTTGTGAGCAGCTCCAGAGGCAAGACGGAAAGAACGAACTTTGCCTGAGATGAGCGGAACTGGTTTTTCCATCGCGGATATGCTTTTGATCCTTGAAAATCAACCTGTTGAACTGTGGTTCGATCATCTTGCTATAGGAGCACTGTATGTTCGCTCAGTTGCACGTTCTAAGGAAGATTCTTGTCGCATGCTACAACGATTGGAGGACGTACAGCTCACCGACTGGCTCAGCTAGCCGTCTCGAGGATTTGTATCAAATGTGGTGTGAGAAGGATTCGCAATATCTGTCAAAGCAAGTCACCAGTCTTGAATGGGAGCGGGAGCGGCCAAGTTCCTTTACTTTCCTACAAATTTCCGGTTACAGGTAAGTCCATGAGATCATTTGGACGAAGCTTAACATTGGTGAGTTGAATATTTCGCAGACCTAGGCTGAACAATTAAGTTGGATTTGAACGCGCCAAGTCTTTCGCAATGTCCAAGTGAGTAAGCCTTTCGTTCAAAATCACACAGGGTAGAGAATGCTCTCACAGGATATTCCCTTAATGCGAGGTTATTCTGAACCCACTGAGACTCATTTTGAAAGGCAAATTGAATCATGGAAAATTCGGGAGCTGACGGGAACGCCTTAAACCAAGTACTAACACTGCACGATTCGGAACTGGGGAAATAAGTTCTCTCCAGTTAGCTATCAGCTTCCATCCTGTCCGTGGGAAACGTCCGTGTTGAAGCGTAGGTGGAGCCCCGGCGACGGCCAAGCAAATACCTGGTACTTATTTCAGTTGACGTACCTCTGTACAGGTGGGCAATAATTCACTGGTAACTTGAGATTTTTCTTTTCACGACGGTTGGACCACAACAAATTTCAACTGCACGAGTCGCGGTGATTACAGATATGATATTGTAATAGTTTACGGCTTTCCGCGCTGTTCAACCATGATCATCCTACCAGGACCCTGAACGCTCCATTTCCACGTTAGCATAAAGGCAGGCAGATGTTTGACATCTATAACCTGAACGGTCGAGTACTCCGTAGCAATCACACCCACGGAGCTGAGCACAGCGAACGTTCGCTCCTCAATCCAAGTTTGAAGTCGGAACCAAATGGCTTTGTAGATCAGCTGAAAATATACAGCGATGGGTGCCGGTGTAAAATTCCTACTGGATTTCTACCAGGTCAGTGGCTTAACGTATGCACGGCCAATAGTTGAGACGGTCAAGGGAATCATAAAAATTCCTTAATCCCGCTAGATCCGACCCATACGCCAGGCATCGTCGCGAAGAAGCCTGTAATGGCCACAGCCTGATTTGTCTACACTCAATGGAGGTCAGTACGGATTGGGGGTCGCAAATATAGAGCTCATATACCGCGCTTTGATTTATTGCTTTGTCATGTTGAGTCAATTAATAACTCGTCGACAGAAAGGCGGCTTAGGCGGAGTACATGTCAGGATAGAGGCACGGGAAACGTCGCCGCGGCTACCAGCACCACGGGCAGCGCAAATGATGCGGTAAAGATTCCAACGGAGCTCCGGGTTCAAATATTCGAAGAATCGTGTGGTTTCCAAAGATCAACTGGGTGTTCCGATGCGATACTTATCCAGGCCGTCATTTGACATTCGTCCCCGGAGAGGTGAGTAGGTACTAGGCAGCAAAAAGAAATATATACCGGTTGATGAATCAAGTTTCAACTGATCTCTTCAAGTCGCAAGAATAAAGTTATACAGGCACTGGGCTGAGTTGAAATGTCTATGGACGTTCGTACACCGAAGTAGTATAAATTTAAGCAGCCACAAAGAACTTCGATATTTTCGTTATGAAAATGCAAGCCAATATTGTATTCTGCTTGTCGCGTCGCATCTTGAGCCCCTCCTCAAGTATAGCAGCCTGTCTGAATACACGGACCGTTGCATCTTTTACAACGGTTGGATGGCCGAGCGGTCTAAGGCGCCAGACTAAGGATCAGTTTCATCTTGAAACTTCACTTACAAACCTCGTTTGTAATCTGGTCCTCCGGGGCGTGGGTTCGAATCCCACTCCAATCATTTCTTTTTGCCGCCCTTTTTACCTGCGAAACGTTTGTTTGATCTCCCACATTTTCACTCGTTTATCGATGAATCAGATAAGCAAGGTTTTTTTTTTTTTCTGATGGAGCCACAGGAAGGGACTTTTAAATGTCAGACTCGGACATACAATATAATGGGCTCCGCTTTAGTTCTCCCAGAGCCGGAATCGTCAGATCGACATGAACACGAGGAAGTATTTCGCAAGGCTCTCTTCACAACATCGCTGGGTATAAATCGCCCTTATGGGTGTCTAGTATTCAGAAGCGGCAGCCACGTGCTCTTTGTATAGGCACTACGTTTGTGGCTCCGGCCGGATTCGCCTCATCCTTGCCACACAGTCTGAATTCCGCACAATGTCTATATCTGGACGAAAGCGTAGTGTTGTTGTTGGTTGTTGCGGCAGCTGTCCATCAACCCCTGTTCCAAGCTGTTAACCCTTGTTAACTCACAACCTACTAACATGACATTCGTCAATATAATTCACGAATATGAATTTATATAGCGTTTCGACACTGTACATACTAGCTTCAATATGCGAAACGGAAGTCAAGTCGTCGGCTTTAGCCTTTTTGACAAAGTCCTGCTGCTCCTGCGAAAAATCGACACCCGGTCTTCAGACGTTCAAGATACTCACCTTCTTCGACTATACAATCCACTTCTTGTCCCGTGAGTTGAAAGTATGGTGGAAAAATAATGTTGCAAGGACAGTACGATGCTCTTGGGTTTACTATCTGTAACATAGGTTGCAGCGACGAGGGTGAAAGCAAATTAATGGATGGCACACAGAGCTGCTGGATCCGGAAAGACGTTGACACACACCCGTCATGGACCTTTTGCCCGTCTGAATCATTGGAAGGTCAGCTTTTTGTACGTCCTCCCGAACTTTAATGGGAGGAAGATGTACATTGAGGTCTAGGAAAGAAGGCGGGTGGTAAGCAGATTTGAGCCGAGATGCTACTCGGTACTGGTATAAAGCTTACCGAAGATATTTGAATGTCCTGTGCTGGTTTGACGTGACAACAGGTTGAAAGTTGAACACTATCCGTGTCAAGTGTCGGTGCCAAAAGTTCGGTGTAGTAAATGCGATGATTTGCAGAGTGTGAAGATTCAAACCGTGAATGGAGAACGATTGCTCAAGATCCACAGATGTTAGACCGGTGACCGTCTGTCTATGACATGTCTACCGACAGTATAACTTTCGGTACGAGAGGCTGGATTCGAGCCTACACGGATGTATAGTTTGCGCACATTAAGTAGTTTCGTGGGGGTACCAGATACTACTCGGGCGGGCTCACCACGGGCCATAACTTGCTTGAAACGATTGCTCGAGCCATGAAACACAGGTATTACACCCTTCACAGCCGGTACTGGAGAGAAAGACGAGGAAAAGGGATTAATTGAAAGATCACATGAGGTGTCAAAGAGGCAGTGCTTCTGTTTGCTCTCGTTTAGAACACACCTTGGTCCCGAACCAACCACTTTCGCTTGTCCACCGTCGACCTCTGCGAGACCCTTACCCTTGATATCGCCCACAGTGTCATATTGACTGCTATGGTAACTTTCTTCCCGTTTCCCTGCTCAAAAAATGACATTTTTAACGGGATTCTGCAGTCTTTACCACCGACCGTGATGCGCCGTCTCATGCGGGAAATTACTCAGCTCAAAAACTCACCACCGGAGGGTATTCGCGTTCAGACCAGTGAAGACAACATGCTGGACTTTACGGGGATCATCGAGGGACCTGGTCAGCCCGACTACGCGTTTAGATGAGAACACCAGCTGACCAAGATGTTTCAGAGGGAACACCATACGCCGGAGGGTATTTTAAAGTCAAGTTTTCGTTCACAGAAGAGTTTCCGGCTGCGCCACCCAAATGTCAGTCCTCTGCGGTATCGCCATTCCGAATGCGACCCTAACAATCATCCTTTGTACCCAGGTCGGCTGGCGACCAAGATTTTCCACCCGAATGTTTCAAATTCGGGCGAAATCTGTGTCAACACCTTGAAGAAGGACTGGAAGGCGTCATACGGGATCGAGCATATCCTGGTCACTGTGAAATGTCTCCTGATCTACCCGAATCCGGAGTCGGCACTGGACGAGGAGGCGGGGAAGCTCCTGCTGGAGGACTACGGCAGCTACTGCAGTCGCGCAAAGCTCATAACGAGTGTGCATGCCACCCCCAGAGTACGGCCGGTAGAATTCGACACCCCCTCCGCAGAACCAGCGTCACCCGTTCCCTCCACTTCTACCTCCCCCGCACCAACAATGTCGACGCCCCCCGCAAAAGCACCAGCCCCTACCCCCGCGCCCGCTTTCAACCTCCCGATCATCACGCGCAAGTCCTCCTCGCCAGCACCGCCGCCCACGCAAATACACGCGATCCCGCTCAAGTCGTCTCCCGGATCTAATGCGGGCCATCTGGGCGAGAACGACGGCGCTATCGGGCTCATTAGCAAGGACCGACACATCTCACCGTCGCCGCTGGGCACGGCGGATGCAAACGTCAGTCTGAGCGTCGGCGTGGTGCCTGCTAGCACGCCTACACCCGGTACAAAGGCGGTCAAGCGTGCGGCAACGGGCGGGGGTGCAACCGGTGCAGAGAAGCGGAAGAAGGCGCTCAAGCGACTCTGATTTATGCCTCCCCTTTCGTCGTTGCTCGATTTGTTTATATATATGGCGGTACGGAGCGGACGGCGTGTAGGCTACCAGAGGTTTTTTGTCATATGTCTTACTTCACTTTCCATTTTTACATATACATCTCTGCGCTACCCATCTCATCTCCGTGTACCGACCAAATGAAAACACCGTGTATTCTTCGCAGTGGTAGACGTACATACATCTCCTTACAGATGTGACTATTGCTACATTATTGTGTAAATTCCTGATTCCTAGGTGTAGTGAGAGCAAAGTGAGCGGAACGAGAGCGAAGAAGAAAAACGTGAGAGCGAAAACCAAATGAATGTGCAGGGGCATGCGATGGCCCTCTTTTCTACGATCCCGCACCGCGGTGTGTCCATGTCGGTCAGGACACCTGCGGAGCGATATTACCGGATAACAATACGGGTTGGTGACCGCGGTGTTTGCCTAGTAGGTGTGTCTGCGGAATTCCAAGCTCGCGCGGTGCAGCGCCTGGATGGCGCGTACGACCTCTGCGCTATCTGGGCGCTCGGCGGGGTTTACGGCCCAACAGCGTTGGATGAATGCCCACTGCGCGTCCGTCACGAATGACTGGGCGGGGCGGCGTGGCTTGTTCCCTTTGTGGATCTCAATGACCACCTGGGCGTCGCCCTTGATGTAATGGTAAGGTACGCGCCCGGACAGGATCTAGGCATGCCGCGTCAGCAGAGCGCGAAGCGCTGGACAGGGTGGATGTACCTCCAGCGTGACGCTGCCGAATGAGTATATGTCGCTGCGTGTAGTGATAGCAGGGACAGGCTGCTCGTCCTCACTGTCGTCGGTGCTGAGACTGTATAGTGAGGCGTCCGCCCACCGCACAGCACCCCCGATGCAGGATGTCAGGGACGAGGGGCCGCAGAACTCTACGACGATACTCGACAGGCCGAAGTCGCATAACCGCGCCTTGCGCTCGTCGTCGATGAGGATGTTCGACTGAATGCAAGAATAAGCATCTACACGCCGGAGAAGACTTCGATCAAACTCACCCCCGTGAGATCTCCGTGGACAATTGAGTTTTCGTGCACTAGAGGTCGTTGAGAGGATTCGTAAACGGGTGTGAGAGTGAGAACTGACAGTAGTGGAGCCCATCCGCGACTTCGCAAAGCTGCACAAAAGGTCAATACGAGAAGGACGGATTGAGTTGGGAACGCACCAATTGCAGACGATCGGTCATGGACAAGAGGTCTCCATGGCGCTCCATGTACTTAGAAACACTGCCCTGCTCGAGCCACGGACAGACCATGGAGTCATACGGCCCGAAGTCGGAGACTGTCCCGATCAGCTTCAGTACATGCTTGTGGTCGAGTCTCTTCCAGACGCCCAGTTCGCGCGCGAGGCGCTGAAACGCGCGTCAAATTACATTACAGGAGCATTTTTACCCGGCCAACCTTGTTCATCTTGGCTTCCTTCTGAGGATCGTCCAGCCGTGAGCGAAGCACCTTGATCGCGACCTGGGGTGAAGATCAGCAGGCAAGTCAATTGGAACAGAGGAAGCGACCCCACCCATTGATTAGGCTGCCGATCCCAAACGCCCTTCCAGACATCTGCAAAGCCCCCATGGGCCTGCGGATAGCTACAATACAGATATACTGAGTGAGCATGATGCAAATCGAATGTATTCTGAGACGCGCACCTGCCCTCCCTCCGCACTTGCCCCGTCAAATCGAGTAGCATCGCAGGATCAGTTTCCACATCTGCATAGAAACCGTCAGCCTCCGCGGATCACAAAGTGGGTTAGCCGACTCACAAGGTTCAGACTCGGGCGGCGGTGTTGGCGGGACGTCGAAACCCAGTGCCTCATTTGTGCCGAGGTGACGTGGGAAGGTCGTGGTAATGGCGAGCGGACTAACGTCCTGCGAGCCGCCGAACAAGCGCGGCAGGAGATTCGGGCTCAGGAGCGACTCTTGGTCGCTGATGCACCCCTCCTGGCGCAGCAGCGACGACGACTCTGACCGCGGGCCCTTGCGCGCCACGAGGCTCCACGAGCGCGCGTGCGAGCGGCGGCGTCCGCCAGCATCTTCGTCCTCTGCGGGGAGCGCGTCAGAAAGAACTGAGAAAGTTGTATGCGCGTGATACGCACCAGAGAGCATGCCCTGTTCGCCGCCCTCAAAGGAGCTGCGCCCGGAAAGCGGGTGCTGGAGCACTGAAGGCGCAAACATCTCGAGCACGGAGCACCACTGATCATATTGTTCCCGACAGGTCGTGTAGAGTTCCAGTGAGCGCGTCTTGTTATCGTCGTCGACCCACTCGAGTTCGATTGATTCTGGAGGTAAGCAACGTATGTTAGTGAACGGATTCTGCGA